CGGAGCTCCTTACTAATATGTTGTAATATAATGTAGATAAACTTGTAATAAACTTCTTTAAAATTTATAAACGTCTTATTAATTTATGGTTTTTAAAACAATATTTAGCCGTGAATATTATGGAATTCAAAATTGGGGTGGATCTAGTCACGTTACATCTAAATAAAATTCTTAAGTTTTTACAATTAATGTCGACCAACCTATTTGACCCGGTAAGAAATGCGCTGCTAACGCTATCAGGTTTTCAAATAATAATGTGCTCATTAACAAGTATGCCTTTGTCCAGTGAGAGATGCGCTGCTATCGATTCTGTCCGAAAATATGCAAAACCTAAATAAAAGGCACAAATGAAGGGCGCTACTTGCCTAAAACAATTTAATTTCACTTAATTCGCTGGTCTACAAGCCTGCAAACAATGTTTGAAAATTTTGTGATAGATAAATCGTCCTACACTGCCATCTATCAAAATCAAGTTATCATCTAATTGATTTTCTTATGCCGGGTTTATGAAATTTCCATTTATTTTATTGATTCATTAGTGTAAGGTTGATCTAAGTTTAAACGGAGTAAAACTGAAATTACGTAGTTCGGAAACGTATTTCATGAATTTATCGGACCAAAAACACTAACGAACGGTTTAACGTATCTGGGAAACTGGGATGTGCAATTTTGATTCATGTTCAAAATGTATTCTGTTTTAAAAATAACTTTTTTTTTGGTTTCAGGAACCTGTAGATTTTGTTGTAAATATGTACATAAGTATATCGCGCATTCGTCATTTGTACGATTAATTTTTTTTTAATTATGATGGTAATTACGATTTTAACAGAATTCTCGAAAATGACGTATTATTAATTTTAAGATATACGAAACCGTATAAAAGCTAGGGCTTCATAATATACATTAACTAAAATGACTAGGTTTTATATAAATATTTTAGTACGGAGAGTAAGTAATTTTGTAGTAATTTTAAGTAGTAATTTTGTAAGCGAGACTCGGCAGTTTTTTATATTTTTTATGGGGTTGTATTTTGTGTAAACAACTTATTTATAGTTATTACTTCATAATGATATTTATTACATAAACAGTTATTGAATTACCAGGATTAACATGGTAATCGTTGGCTAAGATCAAAATAGAAGACAAAAAAATTCTCACAAAAAAGTGTTATCAGTGTCTATTGAGGTTATTTCGTTCCTAATTAATTCTTAAATAATAAGTAAAAGAAGTAAACATAAGTTATACCAATACGTTTATTTGTAGCTTTCATATAAATATTCTATTAATACATGTATGGTCCTCCACAACCACAACCGCACCGGCCGGCTATTGTGACGACACCGCCAGCGGGAACATCGCCAGCGAACTGCACAGCGCCGAGGATAGGCACCTGTCCCGCCACTACAGTAGTGCCGGCGACCGGCATCTCGCCAGCGACGGCGACGTCTCCCACGCCAGCTCCGCCGTACGCCGGGCCTGCGCCGAACGCAACGGCCGGACCGTAGGGCATCGGACCTGCGAACGCAGCCGGACCTGCCATGCCATATCCATAAGGACCAGGGCCGAGAAGACCGGGGGCTAAGCCTGGACCGTAAGCTACATCTGCGGCTAATCCGGGACCACAAGGGAGCTCCGCTTCAAGTCCTAGAGCAGGCGCTAATCCTAAACCAGGTGCGGCTCCTAGATATTGTCCGAATGCAATCTGCAAAAAAACAAAATTTGTTAATAATTTATTATGATTCATTTAGAAATCGTTATTTAACGCCTATTTTGTTAAAGTACCTGAATAACACAGATTTGTGCACAGACAAACAGAAGGACAGAGGTAGACATATTTACGAGTGTTTTTAATGAAGGTTAGAAACAGAATAAATTAATTATTTTTTGTTGAGACTTTTATACGAACTTCGAAACGCTAAGTTTATTTCATAAACCATCATTATTTGCGTTATATCTATTTCAAATCGTTGCATAGGCTGTTTTCATGTTACTATTGATAAGTGCAACGGAAACATTTTTTAACAATAAATAAAAAAGTATTCTGAAACTTATAAAAAAGATTAAAATAAAATGCTAGTCTTTTAAAACACATTAATGTTTTAAAATGAAGCAATTTATAATTAACATTATGTCACATGCAGGCCTATAAAAAGAGTCTCGCCCAAATCAAATACACATTCAACTTGACTTAGTTAGCATCAACAAATCAAAATGTCTGCCAAAGCAGTGTTATTATTTTGCGTTCAAGCACTTTTTGCACAGGTATAGTGTTAAGTTTTATTAAATTGATTCGTAATCAGGTTTAATCAATTGTATGATACATTCATTTCTTTATTGTTTCGCAGGCTATTACTGGCGCGTGCTGGGGCAATGCATTCAACTCTGGTTGGCCTTCTGGCTGGGCGGGCGAGGGTTTGGGATGGGCGGGTCCGGGACTGGCTGAAGCTCCTCTCTTAGAAGTAGCGCCATGCACTGCCGGTACGCCATTTATGGGCGCCGGCTGGG